TTTTTGGTGAAACCAGGGATTGAACTCAGGCCCTTGCGCTTGCCAGGGAAGCTTTTATTCTACTGAGCCATCTCCCTGGGCCCAAATTGTTAAATTTCAATCAAATATTCTATTATCAGTTTCAGCAATATCGTAAAGATATCAAATCCTTCCCTGTAATGTTGTGGTTTTCAAACTTTATGGTTGTGATCCATAATTGCAGTGGATTCCTAACTGGTGGCCAACTTATTACACCCAGCTGAATTGCACTAGCATGGTGCTGAGTGCGGGAGGCCCACCTGAGGGCTGTTCCAGGAGCACACAGGCAGAACAGGAGAAGCTGCCAGAATGCCGTTAGGGGTGCTGTTAGGAGAAGCTGTTGGAGCTGTTGGAGGCAGCTAGTTCTCTTGGGCTGCTCTGCTGGAGGACTTTGTCATGCTGGCTTCCCCAGTGAACTTTGGAGAAGCTCTGGTCCTCATCTTGGGCATCACTTTCTGGCTCCAGAGGGGAAGGTAGTGCACTGCTCAGCCTCATGGAGAGGTTGTTGCATTGGCTTTCCTGATGGGAGCTTGGCTTTCCTCATCTCTGGAGGAGCTCAGGACCTCACTGTTGCTGAGGATGGCTGTGGTATCTTTGGGGGAGCTCTGGTGCTTACCTTGAGCATCGCTTCCTAGCTCCAGTTCATACCCCCAGCTTGCTAGCCAAGATCCTTCATCCCGCTGACATAGACTTCCTAGCTTCCACCACTGACCTTTGAGCCTTTCCAACGCAGATTCATGAAGCACACCTGAATGAGACTTTGTCGCGTGCTCTAGGCTTCCAGTTGAATGTGTTAGTCATTGTTATGAGCTCTAGGTCTTCAACTGAACTCATGCAGGTTATTAGGATCCAGGCCCTCAGCTGGAGTCTTTAGTGTTTATGTTTATGGACAGATTTCCAGCACTTCTTGTATGTGATTCTTGGGTGACTTATTATAAAATGTGTCCTGTATTATATTGTTCCCCTTGCAAAAACGCCAAACCACGACAGTAGTAGCATTTAGTTTGCATGTACACATGTAAAGAATATACTGTACATTTATATTTATGTATGTGCCTACTCTTCCTAATCATCAGACTAATAGTTAATTAATGAACTACATGAGATGTGATCTGTCAAATCTATTTTAAGAAAAATAAAAGGCCTGAGAAAGTGTGTGCTTCAGACTCATTTGAAAGCCAGCTATGGCTGGATGTCTGAGGCATTTGTTGGCTTACTTATAGCATCTGAAACATTTGACAGCTAGAATTTCCTTTTTGCCTTTAGCACACCAAGATTCTTAAAAGTACATATACACTTGAAAACACTCTTCAGTCTCTGTGTCTGTCTGTCTCTCTCTCTCTCTCTCTCTTGCTCTCTCTCTCTCTCTCGCTCTCTCTCTCTCTCTCACACACACACACACACAGAGCCTAAGACCAAGGTGACTCCAACCCACTCAGATCCTATGCAGAAGACTTTTCACACAAGTTAGCACATTAGGCACGGTGTTCTGTTGACTTGCATATAATAAAAAGATGTTGTTTATATGATGCAACTGAAATGCAGATTCACACAGACAGTGACCGAGTATGTGAATTCTCGAGGGAACCACGCCCACAGCAGGAAGGGGCATGCCCAGCCCTCCCATGGGTCACTTTAGGCACCTTGGTATCAAGAAAAAAATTGTATGACTTAACAAGATTCAAAGAAAATATTTGTGGTGAGAAATGGGTGTCAGATTCCATTACTTTTCATTATATGTTTAGAGATCTTGGGCTTGTATCAATCAAAGATTTGATAAAGATTCCTCTTGGCCTATCAACAGTAGATCATGAAACAGAGAAACCAATTAAAAAAGGACAATGTGGGTGGTGCAGATTTTTATAACTTTGTTTTCTTAAATAATCGGCAAAGCTAAGACTCAGAAGCAAGAAGTACAAAATTCTTTGAAAAAAAAAAAAAAAAAGCCTGGCGGTGCTACTCTCTAATAGTACTTCTGGGCATATAATATGAAATCAAAATTTGTTTTTCAAAGTAGTTAAAATTCAGAATCAATACTTAACTTTTCAATTTTCTAAAATTTCATTTATCAAAATTCTATTATTTATTTCTCTACATAGTCTTGTACAGAATAAGTAAAGGGACATCTTTCTGATCAGCTGAAGTACGTGCACGGGGTAAGTGCTCATGATGCGCCTGGCCTTGGAGCGTGTGTGTGTGAATGTGTGCATGTGTATTGGCAAACACATGTTTACACAGACATAAAGAAGGAAACGGTCAAACACACAAGAATTCCACATGAGAAAAACCTTCATTATTTCACACTAAAATACTTCGATACCAGTATTTGCTATCATTTTGACATGATAAAATTCACTTTGTTTTTGAGAAAGAAATAAAAGGATATATCATGAAAAAATATTTAAGCTATATCCTTTTTCACTATAGATTAACCTCAATACTGAGCTTAGCATCAGGCACCTAAAAAGTATTCAGTAAATATTTTCTAAATTGATGAGTTGTAACTCACGTGACGTATTTTCCCATGATGTCAGTCAGACAGTAACTTCATGCCAAATGCAAATATGAAACATTTCAAATAATGTTCACTATTGGAACATATGAACTTTTTCAAAAACATTTTAAAAGTCTTTACTGAATCTGCTGCCCACACATGCTTGCACGCTTCATAACTCTCACCTCCTCCTTGGTCTTCTTAGATATCACGCGGAGCCAGTCCCCAATCATGCTCAGCACAGCGGCAAAGTACGCCAGCCCCACGAGGATCCAGAACCAGACGACTGGCTTGTAGAAGTCTAGATACTCAATATCAGACCCACCTGTGGGAGAGAAACAAAACAGGACAAATAACTACAAATTCCTGAAATTAAGTACCAACAGCCTAAACAACTGGCTAAAATTACCAGCTGAAATTTGCCTTACAGGATGTAGAAGTCTAATATGCTTATCAACTGACCCATTACCAACAAAGTGAAAAGACAACCCACAAATTGGAATAAAACATCTTAACTAAGAAGCACTCAGACAAAGGTTTTCTCTCTAGAATTTATAAAGAACTAAAAAAACACAAGGGCCTCAAAATTTAAAGACCCAGTCCACAAACGGGCAACCGAGATGAACACATACTTCTCAGAGCATGAAATTAAAGAAGAGAATAAATATATGAGAAAATGCTCCACATCACTAGCCATCCATGAAATGCAAATTAAAACAACCCTGAGGTACCATCTCACCCCAGAAAGAATGGCTATCATAAAGAAATCACCCAACAACAAATGCTAGAGAGGCTGTGGGGAAAAGGAACCCTTCTCCACTGCTGGTGGGAATGTAGACTGGTGCAACCGTTATGGAAATCAGTGTGGAGACTCCTTTTTCTCCATATTGACTTCTTATCAATATTGTTTTGCTTTGTCTTTTGATTTTTATTTTAAATAGAAAAATAATTGTATAGAATTTCAAAACAAGATAATAGGAAATTAACGTGGGTTATTATATTGCATGTTCCTTCTTCAAAGTAGGTGCTCAGATTAGCAGATACAGCCTTGCAAAACTGACCAAACAATATAAGCACTAGCTGTTCCTTTCAATGAACACCAACAACAATAAATAATACAATTATCTTAGCTATCTTGTGTGTGCGTGTATCTATTGTTTTCGTTCTTCTTTTCTCCTTTTCCCTATCCCAGTTGTTCTTCCCTTTTGAGCAGTTTCTTTGTTTCATACTGCTTTATTTTTCCAGCTCTGGAGATGGGCTGCAGGGCCTCATGCATGCTAAGTTCCCGTGTACAGAGCTTTACTTCCTAGCTTCTCGTCAATATTTTAAGAGCCAATTTAGCAGATGCTTCATGGTGAGACCGTCCCTTACTTCTGCGAGCCCTAATGACGTAGGTTTCTCATTCACATATAATCTGTCTCAACCAGTCTAACTTTTAATGATCTGATGTTGTTCGTTCCTCTTTCCACTTCTGTTGTCATGAATTCAGGTACAGACTATGTTTTCTTTGGCTGTGCATATGTTAACACCCAGAGGGCAGTACTGGCCTGTGGACGCAGTGCCAACCTGAACAGAACGTGGGCAACTCTAGCCACAGTTGTTACTGTAAAGTCCTGAATCCAACAGATTGACAACAAATGCCAGAGAGGATGCCTTAGGTCCAATGAGACAAAGCAGCAATTCCAGGTCCTAGTGCCACTCGTTGTGTGAGTTTTCAGAAGACTCCCATGTTTCTCTCAAATTTGAATCCCTCGCTCTCATGAAAATATGGGCAGGGAAGCTATTTTCTTGACTTTCATTCTGAGGCACTCTGTTCACTGGCACCGTAATGATCCCTCCAGAACTTATGCACCTTCTGTGTAGGAATGGAGGTGCCTCCTAAGGCCACTGCCCCCTCTTGAGAAACTGACAATTCAGCCTGAGACACACTCACATACACAAGGAACCACAAAGTAGTAGGAGTGACAGTCAAAGACAATAAGAAAGTGCCGTGAGCACACACAAGAAATCATGCTCGCTTCTGGGAGGGAGAAGCTCAGCCTTCAGTAACGAGCATCCAAATGTGAACTAGTTCAGTGTGTGAATACATAGCATATTGAAAGGACTTTTTAGTAGATAATGAATATCTATATGAATGGCGGCCCGGAAGCAGATAGGGACAAGAAAGGAATCTAGAAAGGCAGGTTGCACCAGATTAGAAGACCTAAGGCACTCCCTGGGGAGCAGGTAATCGATATTCATGTTGGGCTCTACATGCAGAATGGTCCAAGGCAGACACAGACGCACTGACAGGGCAGCTCAAAGAGAACTCCTGCGGAACTGGCCGGGAAACGACTGCATCTGGGCAGACCTGGAACGAGAGGCAGGTAAGAGGCAGACTCGTGTGAAGTTGGTGTGATCTGTGTGAAGAGAAGCCCTGAGGAGCACACGGACCCTCCTGGACACAGCGCCTGGGCATGCAGGGGACAGCGAAGGCTTGAAGAGCTCGAGGGAGAAGAGGGCAAGGACACCAGAAAGACTCCTCCAGCCATGTGCACCCCCAGAGCAGGAGATGAGGGTTTTACAATCAACAGCTCACACATGGGGTCACACCTGAGTTCACCAGGATCCCTAACACCAAACCCACATATTCTGAAGAACAGCCTATAAATAGCAAGCATATGCTGAATTCAAATACAAAATACAGAGTATGACATCACTCTAGATAAAGTAGACTTTGAGTAATCCACAATGATATTTTCAGATATTGAAGGGCAAGTTAATGTTTAAATTTATTTTCTCAACTGGCCAGGAAATGACTGCATCTGGGCAGATCTGGAAAGACAGGCATTTTAGGTAGAATCATGGAAAGTTTTTGTTTGTTTCTACCAATTTTGCCTGTTCAAAACTAAACATCTGATTTGGTAACATTATGCCCTGCAATGACCACTGTCAAATTCCTATTATATTTTTAGTGAAATTCTGTATGTTTACTTAAAAAAAATTAAATCTTCTATTTATTTATGTATTTGTATGCAACTCACCCTCATAACGACCCTCCTGTTTTCACCCTCCCAGAGCTGGGGTTTCAGGCATGTGCCTCAATGCCTAATCTCCATGAACAGCTCAGTGTGCCCGGGGGCAGTGCAGGCTTGGCACATGGTGCTGGGGATCAAATCCCTATCCCTGTGCTTGCCTAAGCAGGTCCTTAGTCCCCTGAGCTATCTTCCCAGCCCTTCTGTATGGTTTCTAATGATTTTTTTTTTTTTTTACTATTTTGTATTCTCTTTTAAAAATAATAAAATTAGAGCCGGCCAAATAGCTCAGCAGATTAAAGCACCTGCAAGCAGGCTCAGGAGCCAGAGGTTCGATTCCCAGGCCTGCTATGCTGGCCCCACCCCTGGGGCACACTGAGAAAGCAATTGAGACTGGCATGGTGGCACATGCCTGTAATCCCAGCTCTTGGGAGGCTGTAAACAGGCGGATCACCACGAGTCCGATCTAGTAGCGAGACCCTGAACACCCTGTAGACCCTTCCCTAAAATCAAAATAAATTACTTAATTAATAAAAATTTTAAAAGATGAAATACTTTTCCATCAGGTAAATGGCATATGGCTACAACTTTCACTTCTTTTGGAACAAATACTAATTTGCAGAGGACCGACCTCTTTTCCAAGTGAAACGGTGATGACAAATGATTGCAGAACTCTGAAAAGTGATCCCCAGCACCCACCCCCTAAAAAAAAAACAAAACAGCTGTAAAGGTCAGTGTGACAGAAGACAAAAACTGGCTAGGCAATCCCAAATTACTTTTTTTTTTTGGTTGAACTAGGGATTGAACTCAGGCCCTTGCACTTGCCAGGGAAGTACTTATTCCACTGAGCCATCTCCCTGGCCCCCCAAATTATGTTTTTTATAGAGGAGACTAAAAGCACTAAACATGAAGTCTGATTAACTCCAAAAACCTTCCCTAACTGCTTATGCCACTCTCTAACCAAACATGTAATGTTCAACAGTATTTTCAGTGACTGAATAAATGTATCCTCTTGTGGAATGTAAGCTTTTTTTTTTTTACAGTATCAATCATGAGGATTTTTTTAGAATATACAAATTTTTGGCTAAAACTTCTGAGTCTTCTTAGAAAACCAGGTAACCCGAGGACACTACTTTGTGTGATTATGACTTTTCACCCAGTTTTTCATCCACCTAACGAAGTCTGACTGAATACACCAACGCAGACACCAGCTTTGGCATGGAGCTGTGAATTGTGTGTGTAAACTGGGTAATACTTTGACTTTTTTCTAATTTTAAGGGATTACTAATTTCTTGTTATAGTTCTTATAATCCTGGACAAAGAACACAAGCTGTAAAAGCAAAGTTAGATAAGTAAAAGACAAAATTTCATACATTTCCACATAATTAATATTGCTTCTTAGATCTTAGTGAAGAAAATCTGATTTAGGTTTGTCTCTAAGGCAAGGAGAATTTAATGATATACCATCCCAGATTTCTAGTCAACTGAAAATATAATTTCAGAAGTTTCAAAGCAACATGGAACTAAATGTTAATCATCAAATATAATGCTGCCATTACATCCCCAAATTTTAATATGATTTCATAGGTGCTTCATAAGTGACATGGGAGTATTTCCTTTCCCCTCCCTCTCTGTAAGGGTGACTCTATATTCACTCTCATTATGAGGCTCCCCAGGTGTCAGGTAAAATCCTGGGGCCTCCCAGGTCCCTCCTAGCCTCAGAACATGGAGCACTATGAGAGGACAAAAGGACCATCAGCGAAGATCAGGTACCAAGGACTAAGGGGACCAATCAGCCCCTGAAACGCATCCCTTCCAGGAACAGAAGCACAGAGCTGAGGCGCTGGGCCAGCACTTCCCGCAGATGAAAGCTGGATCCTTGGATCACACACTGAGAGTCACCTGAGCACAGCCTGCCTCCAGCAGCCTACTGATGCGTTTGGCTCTACGTCATCAGCACTGGAAAGGTCCAAAGATAAATGTACTTATTGTGAGTTAGAAATACATCATGCCTCAGTATATACTACCATGAGCACATTAAGAAGGATATTTTGAAATTCGTGGAATGGAAGAGTCGCCATGTTTTCTTTCCATGTAAAAAGTCTGCCTGCGTGAAGATTCACCAGTTCTGGTCTATACAAGGTCACTTTATTTTTATTTTTATTTTTATTTTTATTTTGTGGTACCAGGGATTGAACTCAGGACCTTGCACTTGTCAGGCAAGCACTTAGTCCACTGAGCCATCTCCCTGGCAACGTGGTCACTTTAGATGACTAAGCTGCCCCTGATTATTATGCCAACATTAAGAAATACAGATATATTATAATGTGTCTATTAAACATTTATAAAACACTTTGATATTACCACAGATGAAAAAGTACAGTCTTTAAATTATCTTCAAGGAAACTGAAACCTGAACAACTGAACCCTAATCCTATGGGGATAGATTTTGCTGGCTTTAAGAAGGGTATGCAGTGGGCAAGGGTTGAGGTAGGGCTTTGATTTGGGGGTAAGTTTGCAGCCCAAAAGAGAAAAAGAGAGGAGTCCAGTTAGAGTAACTTCACTTGCTATTTGTTAGAAAAAGTAACCAGAATGAAATGAGAACACCACCTACCATGAATCTAGTATGAAGAGGAAAGCTTGTTTAAA